TCCTCTTACCCCTCGCTTTTTCATGTTGTGTTGGTGTCGGAGGTAGAAAGGTTTCAGTAAGAGCATCCACGGTACACACAACACTGCTATCACTACAAGCAATGGCTGTATGATATCCTGTTGAGAAAACAGGGACAAAAGACGGTTGCAAAAATCAAAGTTTCTTGGGGTCTCTGAACTCGGTATAAATTTCACTCAATAGCAAATAATTTGAATACAGAAGAACATGCAAAGTAAGAATATTGTTGCTTACCTGTCCTGTGTAAAGCAAGTGAGAGGGATGAATGGAGTTTCCGAACTGGAGGAACATGTTGATGAGTGCCAACAGCAAACTAGGTTGCTGAAATAAAAAGCAAAATTAATGTTTAAATCAACTGAAAGTTATATTTTCATCTCTATTTAGTATGACTTTGAGAAGCAGAACAAGATAATTTGCACAGTATTCTAGCATTAATCAGAGGCACATAAAGCTACATAACTCATTGTACCTAGCAAATTCTTATGCTGCCAAATAATTGATGGAATGCACCCAATACATTGACAGCTACATGTATGCAGAGACACGATGTGTGCAAAGAGCTACACCTCTTAGCACACTGTACTCATTGCATGCCCATGCTCTCAGCTTCATAGGCACGTAGAGCGTGCAAATGGTAGAGCAACGCATAATGTGCGCAAAGGCAATCTACACCTATTGTGTGCCTATGCTGCTAGATAATTAATTCATAGGCATGTGAAGAAGGCTATGAAGGAACATACTGTACATGTTAAGGGCAGAAATTTCCCACTGTTTGAGTGCATTGGATTCCATGTTGAGACCTCTGGGTTCAAGCTAGCTAGCTGGAGTACCTGTACCCCGAGGAGGGGTTGGGGGGGNTGGATTATAACATGGACAGCTCCATGTACACTTACATTTGATGAATTGACATTGATAGTAATCCACTTGTAGAAGATCAAAATGCCCAGGTAACCAAAGATGCAGAGCAAAAACAGAACCTGAAAGAAAGGAACAAGGTACTGAGAGATAAATCTATGCTTACATAAGAAACACTGAAAGACTGCAGAAGCAGTCCCTTCTTTTGTTAGATTGAGAGAGTGAAGTGACCAGGAAAAATACAGTTTCTGCTTTAAAACACAAAATGGCAAAATGAAGAAATGGCACTTAAAAGACATGATTGATCATCACGGTTTTACACACAACTTAAGAGCGGTTTTGAAATTAAAGCCTGGTAATTTCATTAACCCAAATAATTACTGAGAGCTGACCACCTTCAAGTCAGTGATATTGAGGTCTAGTCAACTTGAACGCTACTTACGCTAACTGGAGTGTTATTTGGACTCACAGTAGCGACATATTGTCATGTTGCCATTACGTGTTTGTAACACACTCTCTTGCTGATCTGCTGACAACTGCAAAGCACAAGGAATCCCTGCAATAGCTGTAAATGAGCCCATCAATGCCATGACTGCAGGTACACCCACTGTACTGTACATATAAGCAGGACTTGTCTCAAGGTTTTGAACCTTTGTCTAAATGGATTGTGTGTATCTATCAATACAATGTGCCCTCAATCAATACCCTCGATCGATACCCTCAATTGATACTCCATTGACACCTCGGCTGATACTTGATCGACACTCGATC